GGGGGGCTGCGGCCCCCAAATTTTTGCTTCCGAAAAATTAGTAATAAATGAAATCAGTCAGAAAAAAAAAATTGATGATCAGAGCTCGACTGTACGAGGCCATGTAATGACGGCATCAAGCTGGAAACGTTAAAGACTGCTTCAGATTCTGAAGGACGAGAGTTTTATTGAATATTTTGATTGCATACTTTCCGCAGTTAAGAAATTATCCAAAGCAGAAAAAAGCTTAGTTAGTGAAGCTGTTGGCAGTCAATCCAACGACCAGCGCTTCGTTCGAACATAGTTAATAGATTAACTATGGTTCGAACGATCATTTTCAGCAGCAGGCGTCTAAAAACCTGGCTAAGATCAGGAGCCCAGATCAAATACGACAAAACAACGATTAAGCAATCTCACSATACTAAATAAATTTATTATTGACTTTGGATTGTCACGATCAAAAATGATCATAAAATTAATGCATCATATGTCTTCTTGATGCTCTCAAAATGCTGGAAATCACATTTTCGAGAATTAAAATTCCCAAATTTTCCGGGGGGAAGGCCCCCGTGCMCCCTAAAAAAWTCGCGCCTTCGGCGCTCATCAGCCCCCGCATATTCAACCGCTCCGCGGTCACTGTCACTGTCACATTTTTCACTAGGAATAAACTTCTTCTAAAATTTATACGTGACCTAACGTTGAAAGAATTTTACTGTTGCTGTTTTTTTTTCATTTAAGATTAGGCTAACATTGGGTGGCCTCTAATCGCGCATCACCGAAATAGCTCTTTTGAAACGCCGCAATACCACCTAGAAACATCACAAATACCGCACACTACAAAGAATTAAATGAGCTGAGACGTTCTCGGCGCTTAAATCTCTACATACGCCAGATATACCTTTGCATAAGTGCTGATATATTGGCATACGTATATACTGTCATGTTTTTTAGTGGTATTGCTGGTTTTCTAGCCGGCCTGTACTAAAAGCTTCAGTTCTACAAAATGTTTGATGATTTCCGTATCCTGCAGTGCTAAAATTATCTCGAGGTAGGGTAGATCACGAATACTTTCCCCGAAACACCGCGTAGTTTCAGTAGTTTTACGGTAAATGTCGCATATTTCAGGGCATAGAAATCCCGTATAACCGTTATATTCTGGTCAATACCCCTCTAATCCCCCCTCAAAATACAACGCAAAAGCCGTAACAGTCTTATACGGGAACAGAAATATTGGGAAAATATCTAAATGATTAAAAAAAAAAGAATTATACTTGGGGGTCTTGGATTGGGTCGATTGGCCATTGTTACCATTCTGACTCTATTACTTTCTTTTGGTAAAACGTTTCTGAACGAAATACTTCAAAAAATTTCAACGATAGCTTCTTTTTATAGAACGTGAATGCCTGTCGCTCGATCTCAAACTCCACATTGCGAGCTGCCTATGTTGGTTTTTTAGCAGGTAATTACCCGTGCACAGATCTATCTGTWGTTTTCAAAGCGAATCCATTAATTACTGAAAAACAACTAATATGCTTGGGACACCTGTAATTATGGACTAAAAAAATCCTGTTTCACACATAATGAACGCGGTACCCACGCTGTTCCCCTTTCTCAATTGTTCGGGATGTCATATTTATCTACAGCGAGAGTAGAATGACACGCTCACGATCGCACATAGCGCCTGGGTACTAGGATAACTCTGACTAACTCTACTCAAAATTCACACACTCCAGTCACACTCTAGGAGAGGCGTCTGTCGTACGACTTCCATATATGGAAAGTAAATTAGTATGCCATATGTTCTATTAGAGGTCATACGCGTATGCATAGAAGCCTCTAGTGTCAACATACAAGGTAGTTACTAGGTACGTCCATTGGCATTTGTGGACTCCTGCACTGCCTGAAATAAAATGACGGCACTRGGGCAAAACCAACACCATTCCATCTCTCTACTTGCCCAGGGAAATCCACTGCAACTCGTACAATGCCAGTTAGTCGACTGTCCTGATTGTTCGTCATTGGAAAGGAAACTTTATCACTGTCCTTTATGTCGTCGAAAATTCCGTCTACGATCACGACTCAAAGAACACCATACTGCTGTTCACTGGGAAAGCCGTATCTCCTTTGGAGGTTGGTTAACATAGTAAAATATGTTGCCCAGAAGTGATGCMTATTTAGTATAGATTATATTATAGATCCACTTTTTAGCATACGAAATTAATGTAGTCCTTGTTGTAGTAAGTAATAACATAAGTTATCAAAAGATGATGAGATGATGCGCCGTTTATAAGTGTCTAAAAACTTTAAAAGYACGTTTTAGTCACCATTTTGTGTTGTTATGAACCGGAGAGGGCCTGGGAATTAACAGGAATTCAACACTGTTTAATCTATTAAAAATCCACGGGAGGCAGGGAATAAATCAAAGGAAAAGCCGGTAAAAATGCCATAATTTTAAGACTAGTTTTATAATTGAGTAATGCATTAGTTGATATGAATTGGCTGTTGATAATCCTAAAAGTTAGAACTCTACCCTAATCAAATTACAGGATATTATTATAAAAACTATGCCTTTGGAAAATAAGAAAAACACACACACAAAAAAACACACACACAAAAAAAAAACAAACAAACAAAACAAACAAAACAAAACAAAAACAAAAACAAAACAAAAAACAAAACATTTGCCTTTGATGTCTGATTGATTTGTGTTTTGTCATCAGATTACAACATGCTCAAGTGCAAGAATACCTGTAGRGCTGTGGCAACAAGAAAGGACACAGTGATATGGGATAAACCACACTATCACTGCTTTGGGTGCAGCAATTTGTTCAACAAAAGTCGTGCACTTTTGCACTACACATTACATACAGTACAGACTCATCAACTAGATTCAGCAAGCACAGCAAAACAAATGCAAATAAACACCACACAGGAACAACACCTTCATTCACGACATGAAACACCAGCAACAACCTTACAACAGACAGAACAACCAGTAAGCCCTCCAGCATACATAGAATCAGACTCACCACTGGAGGTGACCATACACAATATTGGACCATCAGCAACTGTATTTTCAAGATCTTTAACAGATCGTGTTGCMTGCCCTTACTGCAGCAAAGAATTCCATCCACATTCTCTAAAGGTTTGTTCTTAAAATGTAATTAGCATAAGCTTAATAATGACTTCTTATGTTTATTTTGTGCGTTTCCATTTTTCATTTCCATATAATTTAGTGAAAAAAATTAATACCACAATTTCACAGTGACATGTAGGACAAGCCTATCGATCAGTCCCCAATGGGATTGAGCAAGGTACTGAAAACAACCGATCAATACTTATGATGATAAAGATAGAGGTCATTATGGAGTAATTTACCATGCAGGACTAAACAACACAATTTAATTTATTCCACTTCAGTATTGTAAAGAGTATTGTGCACTTCAAACCAATCCATWTGCATGTAAAGGGCACTGGACAGAACAACACCACCACAGTTACGACACAGAATAGTTAACAGCTTGATCTTTGCAAATGAATATAATTTAACAATGGTGATGTAAAGAGGCTGTAAACTTTAATGAAAATAGCTGATAAAAGTGATTACCAAATAATATCCAGTTATTGACATAAAACAAAAAACATAAGAAATGTCTATCAGTTTTTAAAAATGTTGTTATTCAGTATTCTAAAGTAATCAGAATATATAGGAAAAAAAGATTATGTCACGTATCTCAAAAAACTACAATCACTGATTAAAAATAAATAAAACTAACATTGTACTGTAAATTTTTATCAGTATTTTTTTTTCTTTCAAGTAATTGTCCTTTTGTTCAATTGAATTAAACAAAATATTAATTATGCAAATAAAAGATAATCTAATGGAGCATTTCAAGAATTGTTATGCAATAAAAGTTTTCCTTACTTATTTTCAATATGCCAAAAGAGTTCCTTGAACGCCTTGAATTAAATTTTTTTATGATAAATATGATCCATTGATAAAATATGATATGATTTGCTTTTAAATTATAGTACAACACTGTCTTCCACTATCAAATTCATGGAATATACATGTAAATCAATTGATGCACTATTGCATTTTAAATGTCCTTAGTTACAACCTAGATACTATCAAATTTTTAGTCAAGTGGTGATTTTTTAAACTAAAAATAAAGTACAATAAAATCAAAACTGACCAAGGTACATGAACTATATGTACTAAATTCACAATAAAAGATTGATAAATATTAAACAAGTCAAAGCTAAAATAAAATTGAACTATTATAATAACCTTATCAACTATACTTACTATGTTTTCATTTTCGTCTATGATATTCTCTTGCCATACTAGCAATGCACATGCAACTGCCAGGGTTACATGATTTTATTATATAAACTCACTTCCTTTAAGAAAGTCATCTATGATTTGTTATGTCTAGTAGTCGGAAGTAACAAGTAATATTTTCTACTACAAGAGGGTTTGATGTGCTACGTAGGGAACACATTGATTCATTACATGAACAGTATCCATACCTTAACACTGGCCCTGTATCCAGCAAGGCAAGGCATCATATAGCAAGCTGGATATTCGTCCAATGAAAAGTGAAATCACCTAAATGAGATAGAGAATCACAATATGAAAATTACATCAATACACATGAAGCCACAATATTTGCTATAAAAAATAAATTTGCAAAGTGAAAAAAATACTAATGACTAATTGAAAATAAATTCACTATGAAAATAAATTTACTGCATGAAAATATCTATTGACAGGCAGAAATATCAACTGAAAGTTTGTCAAGCCTTTCAGCAATTTGATCAGCAGCATAGCGGCAGTGGCATTTTCAAGAAAGCATGGCACTAATGGCTGATAATGGCTGATTATAGAAATTCAAATACTCTAGCTGCTCTAGAATAGCTGTTTGCTACAATGCTAGCTTTTGATGGTGGGGCTAGCACACTCAGGGAGAAGAATKAAATAATATTTCAAATATGTTTTCAGATAATATAGTCTGCCCCAGAATTGTCAAAAGCTTTTTAAACCATAGTTTTCAGTTTTATCAAGCTGGAGTGTACATGCAGCTATTGAAATACTACAATTCCRTTTCAAGACAAGACGATCCGACCACACATATTAGATTGTCTTGTCTTGAAATAGAATTGTAGTATTTGTATAGTATATGTCTTGCATTCCTGAAAGCATTTTCAATATTCATCAATTCTTCTCTCTGAGTGTTCTATAGACCCCTTGCATGTGACGTCAAAACAGCTTCATCTGGAGGACAAAACAAAAGATTTTTATCCTCTTGGGAACTAGAATCTATTGTTTTGTCCTCCAGTTGGAGCTGCATTCCCATGAACTGCAAGTGTTCTATTAATCATTCTAACCTGCCAACAAAACAGCTATTATATAGCAGAGTACTTGAATTTCTGTGATTATAGCCATAAATGCCACATAATCTTGAAAGTAGTACTGTTGTTAAACTGCTGATCAAATTGCATTGCTAAACTTAGGCTCAACAACCTTCAATCTATATTTCTGACTGTCAGTCAATATTTTCATTATCTGATTTTTTTTTTTTTTTTTCACAGTGAATTTATTTTCATAGTGCATTTTTTTTAGATTTTTGTTGTTTGATTTTTTGTTTTTGAGAATTTATTTTTTAATATATATAACTTACTTCAGGCAGTATTCGAAGTATTTTAGGGTTACCGGTATTCTATTTTCAAGAGCTTTCATAAGTGCAGGGTTCAAGGAATAACATGGACCCCATGGGCTACAAGCATTTTACATGTTCAACAATCATGGAATATTCAAACATTCTATTAAAAATGCATTTGGCATTGGGAATGTTTGACATACTTGCATAATAACAGAACATTGATTTGATGCGCCGTATTGAAATTCATCGTTCATAAGAAAATGAATTTAAGAAAAGGTTTTTACACAGGATTTCAAAACCAAATTCGAGGAAAATGGAGGAAAAAGAAATGTATTGATTTTCAAAGTGGAGACGTATTAATTAAGGTTATGCAATACTAGTAAGTATAATGCTCACCTCGTACTTTGCAAATAAGCTTACAAGGGAGATTCATTAGCTGCTTCGTAATTAGCATAAGAATTGGACCGAATTGCTTCCTTTAGCTTTCACATCAATCAAGTTTTGATCCAGCGGCCTTTACGATCTGTTTGGTGTCAAATCCAATTCAATCAGCAATCAAACCGACGTGTTAACAGGCTGGAAACCTCAGATAAAAAAATAAAATGGCTGTTGCATGCAATGGACTTCTCCCGCCAAAAAACCAAATATGGAACTAAAACTAGCTCCTAGTCCCTACTCATCCAGAATAAGAAAATGAATTGAAAAATATGAACACATGGGTAAATAAACTTAAGACAAGTAACTATAAATTAAACAAATAAATAACTGAATTAAATTAAAGAAACAAATTCAACAAATAAATGAATTTATTGAAAAAAATTGCTACCTGTGTAAATATAAGAATCTCCGTTTTGGAAYCACRTTTTGCAARAGAAAAAAAGGAAAGAAAAGAAAATAAGAAAGAAAAGAAAGTAAGAAAGGAAAAGCAAAGCAAAGAAAGAAGTAAAAAAGAAAAAATATATATTTAGAAAAGAACAAGAATAAGAATAAATTTTTTTTGACTGACATCTACAAACGGATAAACATTTGGTTGGGTTGGGATTTTATTCATCAGTGGCTTTTTCTTCTATTTTATGGTATATAGTTTATCAAACATAGATGAATCGCAGCCTCCCGGCGCCGCTGAATTGRGTACTATTTACAAAATCATATAACCAAAAGTTAAACTATTTACAAAATGTTAACGTTCTACAAACAKGCTCATATATTGTTATTGTAGCAATTAAATATCGTTTATAAGACAACACATGGTCCCCGGAATGGTTCGTGTGAAACTTCGGAAACGTAAAGATCCTTCCTCCTAGCTTGAACAATCTGGTGTCGTGGGGGCAGTAATTGGCTAGAGGCGGTGTTCGTTTGTGCTGRAAATACTTGATAATACGATACGCTAATTCAGATGTAAGCGGTATACCCCCCATGTAACCGACTCAGAAATGTGAAGAATGCATAATCTAATTCATACAAAACGTCCTGGTGATCTGATTCATTTACCACGAAGAATGTACAGAGGGAGAGGTGTGCCACAGTCTTCATTGCATAATCCGATTTATGTACTTAAAAAATCCAATTAAGAATTAAGAGTTTATAACTACGGAGTTTATGCAAGTGTTTAAAAATGGGGATAAGGGAATCAAAGCCAGTCAATTCAGTTTATATTCATATTAAAGGGATAGAACTATCCATATGGGTCTAATAATCATGAAGCAACAGATTTTAAGAMGATATTCATACAAATCCTTAATAATTTGGGCAAAAAATGTTGGACTTGACGTCATTGACTCCATCCTTTTGTTCTTCCATCTTTTGAATCAAAATTTCTCTAATGTGGGACAATTCCAAAACAAATATTTTTTCCCGCAATTGTTTTTAATAAATATATGTGAGTCATATATTTGTATTGCTTGAAGTTTTGAAATAAGGCCATTTTCATGCAAGTAGCACATTTAAGCAAGTATAACTGACCCGATAGATGTTCATCCGACATTGTAATACTCTGCCTTCACCTATGACTAGCTTCTGAATCGTCTGAATATACTTCTGGATTGATAACTTCCAATTTGCACTGTGGACGAAAAGGTTGTCGGATCTTCTGTCGATTTTRTATGTGTAAGCCTTTTTCCCGTTCAATTAGAGCGACTGCTGTTTTATTGTAGGAGGAGCCGACGGGTTCCTGGGAGAATACTTGCTAAGAATTTTTGGCAGGAAAATAAAAATTTTCTAGGTCATCAAAAAAAATAGACGGTTTTGACCATAAAATAAACTTTATATAAGCCTTTTTAGCCAGACTAGCCGAAGGCTAGGTCGACTTGAGTTTTACCTTTTAGCCAATCAATCAATCTATCTATCTATCTGTGTATTTTATCGCGTTTGGACCACCGGAGGTTAAGAATTTAATAATTAATTATTGGGTTGGCTGTGTTATTACATGACCGAAATCTCAAAGGTAGAGTGGTTTTCCGTCAACCATGAAAAGAAATAGACCAACTAGTTAGTAGTAGTCAGTATAACTTTTAGACATACAGACTATAGACAAATAGCTAACCACTAAAATCAACATAAAAAAACTTGTTTTTGTGATGAATATGTTGATACCTATCAATCGGATACAGGTCTACTCTAGACTAGACTATTAGTAATGGTCTTTGGCAAACTACTACTAACTATTAGACTTACTGTGCTTTCATGGTTGACGGAAAACCACTCCATTGAATATCGTTAGTATGTGTTATATGCTACTTGCGCTTTTATGTGATAAAAAAAACTATTCGTTTACAAATGTGGTATCTGTGATCTTATCGAAATCAGAAGTACGCGCATGTGCGGATCGCATTGAGCTTCGAGTAGTGTGCTTACGAAACTGAATTCTAGCGTTAGACAGTCTTGTTTGGGCAAAGATTTCAAGAACAAGAAGAACCTTTGTTTATCAATAACAAAAAGGCGACTTTGATTATTTTATAGGCATCTTTTATTTTTTAAAGTATTCATTTTCTTGGCTTGAGGGGTAAACAATTTGAATTTAAAACGTATTAGATATGATATCACTTAGCGACATTTAGTCTACCACGTTTGATTTTATCAGTTCAGTTGTAAGTTAAAATACACTCTGTTCGCAGGTTATTAATTACAAGACCTTTTAGGTCAAATTTAGATTTCTATCGTTTTGAAGTCGTTGCAGAGAGAAGTCAAAAAGAATATCGTATCGTGTGAATAAACGGTTTTGAACAGTTCATTAATTAAAATGAAAGTAACGCATTCTTGCTTTCACTATGTATTAGAAGTAAAAAATATAATATTGTGATTCACACAGTGGCTATTCATATATATATACGGTAACCGTGCGCCGAGTTATTTTTTTCTATTCGTGGGACATTGTATGTATTCTGAAATTTTAAAGTAATTATATAAGATATCCATTTTAAAATACCATAATTTTGTTTAGAGCAAAATAATAATATGAATACTCTGCAAACTTCGCGTTTTTACCATGCACGTTTAGCCCGGCATAGAATACATCGTCGGCGAAAAGCGACACTTTGTGAAATTTCGTAAACTTCGATATCAGACACGGAATACAGCAATGCCACTACTATGTTCTCAACACCTGCTATGTTTAACACTTTATGGACTTATTTTGTGTATGAATTTATGATTAATCATTCTTATTTGAAAGAGAAAAATCCATTTCCGTACGAATAAGTCGCGCAGTTTATTCATATGGAAATTTTYACCAACCTCCTTCCAAGTCAAAACTGCCTAAACTCTTTGCTTTCAAACTGTTTCTCGATTATTCAAGTATTGAATTCGACGCTTTTAAATCAGTTGTGTGTGTTCCTTCCGTATATCTGTTAAATTTCAAGATTTACGCCATAATTTACATTCATAATATATTCTACGCATGACCGCGTGAAGAAATGGCGGCTTATTTGAACGCTCTCTAAATTTGATCTCTAGTTTTGCCCTTATTTTGTATCCTTGTGTTCTTGTATCTCAACGTGTCATGTCTGTTTTATGTGTGTACGTGTTATCTGTAACATATCTCTTTCCGTCGAATATAGCTCCGTCATCTCAACAATGTAAAATGCATAACTGTTTCCTGGTCCTAACCCATTTTTAGCTTCCAAGTTATTTGTTAGGGCCAGTACCTACTGTAATTTAATTTAGTCAGGATCAAAATTGTAAACTTTTTGTCAAAGGTACAAATAAAGAGTTGTTGTTGTTGTTGTCATTTATATCATATGATTAGACAGAATATTACATCATAATCTTATCGTGTTTAAAACTCCTATATGCGCATCCATGTAATATCCTGTCTTTATCAATTTTCAAAAATAGCTAGTCCGACTTCACGCTCCAAGAGCGTCTAGTTAGACCTTTAAAACGTTTGCCAGGAACAAATTTTTTTTATAAGAAAGAAGGGCGCATATTTGCTTTTGAAATTGTCAGCAATGTAGCTCAAAATTCCTTTCCCAGGAAAAAAATCGTACAAAATCAGTTATTTAGAAGAACAGATTCCGTCGGCTCCTCCTTACTCGATTGCGTTGAGAAGAAAAGAAAGCACGAAAAAGGTTGACATTACAATAGCTCCTAGAAATTCGCATCTTTTCCGATGTGAGGCTAAAGCCTGTATCCCACGATATCTTGAGTTTGAGCCTTCCGGGAATACAGGCTTTGCCTCAATTCGGAGAAAATGCGAATTTGTGGGACTATTGTAATGACAACATTTTTTTCTTGCTTTCTTCTGTTTTTGGTAAGTTCTTTGCGCATGAGAGGYTGTTGTCAACTAAAACAGCGGTTGCTCGCCTTCGAACTGTAGTACGTTGTGAACCATGAGACATTCCTTCCAATTCCCATCATCAAGTGCATGACTAATCAGGTCATCATTATGTACATGCAGGTCCATATTGACAAGCAACACAGAGCTGAAATGGCAAGCACTACATCAAATATTATCACATCCAGCTCTTACCACGAAGGTGTCTGTGTAGATGAAAAGAATGGCATATATTTAGTCAGAAGAAACAAAAGTGGTGCAAGTTTCTGCTCCCATGTGCAATATTGCCCAAATGGCAACCCACCTGTCATGGCTTGCCAAGTAACATCTTGTAAAGATGTCATGGATACGGCCTCCAGGAGCGGGATGCAAGGATTCATCTGCAGTCACCTTCAATCCGTTCCTCACATTTCAAAAATTGTACCTTCTCCTCAACAGCTTTCCATCAAAAGTCTTCATTTTCTTATCAACGAGCAACTATTGAAACCAAGTTGGGAAGATGAATGTCTGAGATACCAAGCTGTTGCTGACAGAGTTGGGGTGCCAATGATTGTTCAGCTTATTGGAAATAGTTATAATTCTTCTCGATACCTAAATTTCAGTGTATGGAATGAAGCCTCAGGGAAGAAGTGGTGGTCATTTTGTGGGAGAGTCTGTGTCACTTATGACTATGTAAACCACATGTGGCATTGTAAGCATGTCAAAGGTTCCCAATCATGTATTCACAAGACGGTTGTCAAGTGGTACATGGCAGAGACCAAGCAATACCCTTACCATCAAGGAGTGGGCAATGATGAATGTTGCTCCGATGACACTGAACATGGTGATGGAGAGTCAGATGATGATRACGATGAGATTAGCATTCTCCACAATTCATGTGTAACCATTTCATGGCATTATCCACCCGAGAAAAGCTTAGCAGAAAAAATGTCCAGGTATGTCTACTCWWGGAAAAAGATTCCCTTGGATGTACCTCTCACTCTTAGATCAGGCGCATCTTCATTTCCCGAGAGGTAAGTGACCATGACCAAGCATGCAGCAAAAGTATATAACAAGTACAGATATAACAAGTACTTGTCAATGCGAGTTCGCTCAGCCATCACTAATTTYATCAAGGGCAATTTCTTAACCTAATTAATGCATTGTCAAAGTTACGGGTTAAAAGAACTATTATAATTATATTATTATCCAGCATATAAAGTTTTCCGCCTCTAGAAACTAATTCTGTAMACACTGAAGAAGACCTCTAACGTTAACAGGCAAAACTTCGGTGTGAGATATGATTACAAATAATTAATATCATAAAGAAATTGAGTCGTCTCTATCTTAAAAACCAAGCAGTTGCGATCGAAACGTCTTCATTAAAAATTGGTTTTTCAAGCTAGAGACAACTCAACTTGTTTATCATGCAACATCCTAGCTGCAACAATATTTCGTGAAATAACTGGTATGTCTGATGAAGATCTTTTTAATCAAGATTTTCCTTATTTTCACCATATTCTATAGTATTTATGATATTTTTTATAGCAATTCAAATATGCTCTGATCATTTGTTRAAATTTCATTTGAAGATTTATTCCTCGTGAGACACATTGCAAAATGTGCCCCGACAATCCGMCTTTGAGTGAGCCATATACAGTGACAAAATCTGGAAAGCTGTTGACAACAACTCCAGCTGGACTGATAACAGGTATTAGATCAGGTCRCAAAGAATACATTGACAGTGATAAATCAGTTCTGCCTATATCGTGTTTATTACATTATAGGAATTGAAATCTGTGTAAAATTCTGTCCTGTATGCCAACTGCCTTATCGCTATCAGGAGTGGGAAGAAGGTGTGCACAATTTTAATGACTTTTGGCTGTTTAGCTTGGGATTCATGGACCTTGTTCGCCAGTTTTTCAAGGTTTGTATCTCTCACTATTTAGTTGCGTTCTCTTGAATTTCGTGGATTAAATGCTTTGTGAACAAGTTTTTTTCTTGCTGCTTCCAGTAGTCTTTTGAAGTWGATCAAGTTCTTGTTCTTCAGTATACATCGTCAATACAAGTACTTTCTACATAGAGTTCAAACAATAATATTTTACAACTTATTCTAAATGTCTCACACTTTTAGAGAGAAAGAAATCAAAATAGAATATACTATCTATCGGAAATTTATTCCTTTTTAAAATTTCATAAATAAAGAAMAACTGCTGAGTTTCATTTTTGAAACAGAAGCTTCTTGTGCACTTTAAAGATATGATGCTTGTTTCTTAAATCTAAACTATAGTTACAGCGGAAATCGTTGCATCGCGACATCTTTGTTTTGAAGTTTGTCTGGATTTTGTTCTTTCTTTCAATATGAGGGGCGGAGCTTTTCGAAAACTCGTTCAATCATTGGCTGATTAGTATCCAGCTCCGCCCCCAAGTTGAASGAAAAACCTAAATGCCAACTATTTCCTTTGAACATTGAAGTCGCGATGCAATGGTTTCTGATTTAAATTCTATTTATTTGTAATAGATAAAATAAGAGCAGGAGTWCTGTATGAGATTTCTCAAATCTGTCTCTTTTCAGGTTCACACTGCATTTAGCCGTGTTTGTGAGGCTTTAAAACGATGGTTAGACATGAGTTCTGTTCCTGTATCCGTTGTGAGGAATGCCTACCTGCACTACGAAGCACTATCTTGTCACCCTTACAACTACTTCTGTGTTCTTTGTGGCCACAATCCATACTTACTTGTCACTGATGCTGATAAAAAGGGTATATTTGATTTATCAGGTAAATCCATTTAGATATTGTTAAAGTCGATCATGATAAATGAAAATCTGTAGAATATTGAATTCGACCATGACATTTGTCAGGAAAATTAGCTCTGGAATCCGGAATCCAGACACTTGGAATATGCAATTTGGAATTTGAAATCCGAATCACTATAATGAATGGATGGTTTTCTGATAAAACTTATACGGAATGCTTACTAAAATGTATAGCAGATCTCGTGTGATCACGAATCGRATGGAATAAAACGAGATTAATGTATAGTCTGACAGCACCCATGAAAAGAACGTAGGAATTGACCGACCAACTTATTATTTATGTAACAAACAATGGTTTTGATTGCCATTACCAAACGCCAACGGATGTAAATGAAATATCCTCGATTAATTGACATCAATTTGACACCAAATTGTTACGGGAGGGTGCGCAAAGGTAGAAATGGCACTTTCCACACTATGTGTCCAGACAGAGGTGCATTCTAAATATATTTATTATGACGTGAAGAGAGTACAAGATCAGMATCAGCTTCAAAACTCTTCGGGCTAACGTTCGTTAGGGAATATTGTTTCGGTCATGAGTAAAGACCTTGAAAGACTTKGGGTAGTATGTAGAAGTCCAATTATAAAACTTTCACACAAAATGAGTTAATTCGATTTTTTTAGTGTATCATTTCCATTATAGTTTCATTCTGGTTCTCCTGTAAGCGTAACTATTGCTTCCATGGGAGGTGCATGKGACTAAACTTGGTTACGGGTTTGTAAATACTGGTTTCGATGGTCTTTAAGAACTTGCTCCCGGTCTACACCACTGAATTCCTTATATGTGCGAAAATATAATTGATATAATTATTCCAATTTATGCTGKTTATTATAAAAATCATTATTCATTATTGTTCTGACTTATTCCAGCAAGCGAACTTGAAGTCCCTGAGGATGGGAATGATGAAGTTGATGCAGATTTTTTCTGGGAAAGTGTTGATCTATCCATGATCTTCAGAGGTTTCTCTCACACTGGTATGCGTTYGACTCATTGGGTCAATCTGGTCAATGTAAAAATAAAGATACCAAAGAATCAGATGATATTCACAATTTTATTTATTGCCGAGCTTTCGGCTCACCTAGTCATGCTTAGTAACCTCCCAAGTGCATTCATAACTCGACTATAGTTGCCCCTTTGATTATCGCTTTTGTCTTTTTTTAACGTCAATCAGTGGAGACTGTAGTTTGTTTTTCTTTTTCAAAAAGAAYCGAAACTCTGACGTGAGCTACCCATGGCAAATGGCTCTTAGATGGCAGCCAATCAAATCGCGCGAATTTATTTAAGTATATTGTAAAGCATGTTTTCCAATTATTTCCAGGCTCATCGGATGCGCAAAACCCCTTCACTGTAAAACCATCATACAAGTTTTGGGCACCATGGGTGGGGCGTTTTACAAGGAAGGACTCTAAACTCATCAACAGTGAACACAGAAAGTGCCGGCATGATCTTGACGAGGCAGAGTTTGGCACTCACTGCAAAATGAATGTGGAGGATTTGATGGAAGTTCTAGAGCAAGGAAGTGTAAGTCGCCTTTCGTTTGTTTTACTGTAATAACAATGATTGCAACTAGTTCGTCTTGAAAAAGATTTAAAAAGATGAAACAGCCAGATAGAGCAAGCCCATTTAAACTATGAAATAACATCAAAATAGTTACTAACAAATAGTCGTTATTCAACAACTTATAGTCGTGAACTAGAAAAGGCACAACACAAAAAAATACTCAAAGGATACCAATGGCTTAGAACGTAACTTATATGTGCATTAATCTACTGTAAATATGCATGAGTCTCCCGATGATGCTGGTGTCCCACGAAAGCTCGAGGAAAATTAAAACAACTATCACAGTAGCGTATGGTCTACTTGTATGTTATCTTACACAAAACATGCTACTGAAGGACAACTTCACAATTTTCAAAGGATACCAAATGATCAAACTTTATTCAGAAATTAAGGGGGGGGGACTAAAACGGATGTATTTTTTCGCAAACTTTACATTACAGCTTTTCCTCTTTTGTTGAGAGTTTTCTGTAGCTCTCCGTATTTTCCTTTTGTTAAATCTTGAATTSCTTATCGTTGCATCGCAGTCGTTTGAAATTTATTAGGCGGTTATTATTAAAAGTGTTTTCTTATATTTTCAGGTAAAAGTCCTGAAGGAGCTATGCCAAAAATTGGAAATAMCATATACATCAAAGCATGCCAAACTGGATATCATAAAAAAGCTAAAAGAACATCTAGAAATTCCATCACAGTTTACAAAAGTTTTCTCTAAGTTTTGGGGAGGATCGGGTGAGACGACTGATTTTGGATACCTATAATCAACTCTTCAGTTAATYCAGTAGTTCAGAATACATAACATCATAAAAGTCACAGGAGACGCGTTGAAATGACAAATCATGCTATATTATTGATAAGTGATCAGTTATATAATTCCTTTGGCGTCCTGCTTTCTTCTTAATATTGGAAAACGYACATTATGTTTTTAGGTGGTTGGCTCGGAGCAGCATGTCAGCATGGGATTTGCTATGGCATGAAATGGCTGATCAGACAGGAAGGCGCAAGGGATCACGTAGATCTTATAAAAAGCCTGGCGTATCAACCCAACTTTATCATTGTCGATTTTGCCAACCAAGTTGCAGCCCATGGCAATACGCGTTGTCCTGATATGTTTACCCCTAATGAAGGCTGTGTACTGCCACCAACGCCTGAGAATATCTCTCTTGCTAAAATGGGCCAAGTATCGTTGGATATGCCATGGATAGCGCGTGCTTCAAGAGGCCAACATTTCCCAACCACATCTACCAAAGACACCAGATGCCACCCAATCACTGGCAGCTCCCAGTACTTTTGTCTGTTTGACACATTTCATGAACATAATTCTTCAAATGATAGCGATCTTCTTAGACGTACTCGCTGTGTYAAACAGTTAGAAGGCTGGGTTTGCACTGAAGTAATGGAGCACATAAACAACATGATGAATAAGAATAACTACTTCACAACGCAAATGTCGGCTACCAACGCCATTTTTGTTCAGCGTCTAGCAATGGAGYTCAGTAATGAGGCAAAAAATCGAAAGATAGCTTCTCTTCACCAACAGCAAGTGAGTCACGTTTTTGTGACCATCAGTTTTATTTTGTCCATAATTGCTTTCCAAAACACAAGTTTCCCTGCTATTATATTGAAGCTATAGACATATCCAATTACATGCATATTGTTACGCAAACATTCTTTTTCTTTTTTCCTTTTCTTTTATGTAGCTGGGGCGGCAACTTGACCTGAATTCCAATGGACAGCTTGTTCTTGCGACCGCACTTCCAAGTTCTGTTAGTACTACAAGGAGTTTTTTAACACCCACCGATTCTATTGCTGCTCTTGGCACTAACTTAGCAATCGGACCTACTTAGTGTTTTTTTCATGGACCTAAACACCTTCTCGTAGCTTTATAATTGCATTTTGGTCGTTCTGACGTCGTTCGCATAAGACCTGAAGGTTAAGCCTTTTGGGAATACATGGTCGTCAGTCTCAACTCGGAGAGCTTTTATAGCGAAAAGAAAKTTCCTTCTCATGGTCCTATTTTTTAACAGAATAGCCAACTTGCGAATTTCGCCTCAGTAGTCACGCATAAAGGAATCAAGACGAGGCGCCGTGCATAAACCTCAGTCATTCGTGAAGTGTTTGACTACCGAGGCGAAATTCACAAATAGGCTATTCCGCTATCTTGAGTTATTTCAACTATGAAACGAAGTCTTGAATGTTGAATGCATAAGTGTTTCTGCCACTTTTTTTTCACTGAGGCTGGAAACTTCATCATGTGTTAAAGAGGTAGGAAATTAGGACAAGCGCTTTTAGATCACAAAAAGGGGCATGAGTTCAAAATAATAGACAAATTAAAATTGCAACATCTAATGGAGAACTCATTTAACGACGTTCACTTTTTTAGTACATTTTGGCAAATGTTGACCGTTTCTTGTACATGACGGCCTGCGTGAGTAAACTTTAATTCGCAACAACGTCTGGATTCATTTGATGCGGATCTTGCACAGAACAGAAGTTACTTAATGTTCGTAATAAGAATCGTCTTTAGCTTCATGAATAAGCAGAACTGACAGTAGCTCTCAGCATTGCGGAAGAGGTTAGAGGTTCAAACAAGGTGCTGGATGATAACTTGGTAGAGTTGTATCTGAATGTGACGGCTGAGGTTTAAGGGCTGCGCAAAAATCAGGAGGTGGGGGTTGAGAAATGAGTGGAAAGAGTGGAAAAGTCAATGATGTAACCCATGAAAAATTAGACGGAAGTCCTCTTTCTTTCATGTAGAGTACTAAGGTTATTTATAGTGCAGGAATACTCCGGGAAACAAAGTTGCCGTACCTCTGGGCGACTCTGTGCTAATTCAGTAAATWTTTCACAAAACCAATAAAAATAWRAGATGATTTTGGAGCGATTTTGTGCATCTTTGGTCAAGTTTGAGTGACTTTAGGTCTCGGAAGTAGTCGCCGTAACTTTTGAGTCGGACGTTTTAAAGCGATTTGATATAAGTTACCAATTGTACACTAGTATACCAATCAAGATTTTGAGGCTTAAGAAAAATGRAAGAGAATACTACCAAACTACACATCAACGAGAATGTTAAACCGATTGCACAAAAATATCGAAGTGTTGAGCTAAAGGTTCGGGACCAGATTGAAGTGGAACTGAAGAATAATTATTGATAGATCTTGACATAATTGAAAGATCTTAAGGCCCCAATCCGGATCCATGGGTTTTGCCAATAGTGACTGTAAAAAAAAAAGGTAAAAATACACCCCTTAAATACAGGTGCCAAGTAGAGTACGTTTTTAAGCGGGAACCTGAATCCAGGCAATATTTCGCTCAATATTTCGCTCAAGACCCTCAGATCGGACAATCATTTTGGGCCCTTAGGACGTGAAGACGAAGGTAAACCCATTTCCCCACACTTCAAATTACCAATAGAGTGATGGACACATTACTATAATTTCACTTAGAGAATAGTCCTAAGTTATAACCTTCACTCATTTCCGGATTTCAAACCGWGTGGGACTGGGGAAAATCCTTTAATTCGGTAATCATGACATAAGACTTACATAGAAAGAAACTCCCTTGTTGAGAAATGCAAAAYTCCAAAATTTGATGTAAATCAGTCATATAGTTACAGCCTTTCAAATATTCTAATATTTCCAAAGAAATGTATGGAAAGCCGTGAATGTGTCCGGAAAATGGTCAAAAATCGGACACATTTGCTGCATCCCATACATTTCTTTGCAAATTTTAGAATATTTGAAAGGCCGTAACTCAATCAGTTCATTGAACTGATTGACACCAGATTTTGGAATTTTGCATTTCTCAACAAGGGCTTTCATTCTATGTAAGTCTTATCTCGTGAAATCTCGTGATCATCCAATTAGCGGATTTTGCCCAGTCCCCACTCGGTTTGAAATCCGGCAATTAGTTGTTATAAAGTCATTTTCCTTTGAAGGAAATTATTGTATTTATTTTATTTATTTTCTTATAAGATATGTTCTTCGGAGACTTAGGCCCTCCTTTAATAACATCATCAAGTCATTTCATTTTTTTAACGCTAGCTCAGTTACGTTTCGTATAGACAACAGCTTGCTTRATTGTGATGCTTCTGCTGATATCTCAGTCTTGTTACATGGATCACTCCGCATAAATACCGTGCGGAACAGGGTCTGATGAAGGACTTAGTAACATATTTTGGTCTTGCCGGTCTTGGAAACGACACCTGTAGCAGAAAAAGATAAGAAGACTTAGGTCTTTTGACCTAACAGCAATAAAGAATTAAAATCATTGGGAATATTTTTTTTTAAATCAGGACTGTAAATTCTAAATTAAATCTTTTTTACACGGATTTCGGGCCAGGCACACATCAAGGCCCTACTTCGACCTGAACACAAGAACAAGAACAATAAATCAACGACCTAAATTTAAGGACAAAAAAAAAATTGTTAACCAACTGTGAACAATTGTGTGATGTTCCGGCTAAAATCAGTGGCAGATTTAGGGGAAGGGTATGGGGCTTATTTAGTGGGAAATGTCTATTTGATACGTTCTCCAAACTAATATGCTAATACCCTAACTAATATCGCGCAAATTACCGCCCCCCCCCCCTGGATCCGCCCCTGAAAATAGATCACATAAAATTGACTTGGACTTAAAAACGGATACCCCTGGCGCTTAAACAGAGATTATACGGGATTATGCCTCCTCGATGTACAAAGGGACATTGGGGGGGCAAAATCTCACGTTTAAAAACCCGCAAAATGTTCCTCCGATAGACATCATAATTAGCGGGAAAAGTACGAATTAGTTGAAACGTTCTGAGTTACGGCAAAGATACCTATAAGTTTTTCAGTCTGTAACTGGTTTTTGCTTAGATTTTCAGTCGTTCAAAATATATGCAAAGGAGTTTTCCTCATTATGATTTTAAGTTTTTACATCCCGCAGTTCTAAAGCTACACCGCTGTAGCGTGATTCGTGAAGGTTTTTTTCCAACAATATACCACATATCACAGGGGCTATTGAAATCCGAGATTACCAGCATGTTTTTGTCATTTTTCCCGGCAATACTGTAAAGAATAATGACCAATCCAGCATATGGAATGATTCCATTACTACCATTGAAACTCGACTTCGATGTTTCCTTATAATGCAGTTTCATTCAACTCATTACAAATGTTTGAAAACAATATCCATGATAATGATTTTGTCTGATGTGCAAAGTGGTGGTCTTCGGCAACCTCAGAAGCAACAGGACATTGCGAGATTGGACCTTGTTGCAGATAAAACTGACCACTCTGCACTATGCAGTCTCCGCAGAAATATGCTTTGAGTGTTTTTAGACAGAGGCAAGTCTCCTTCGATTCTGTTTTGAAATTGTGGGCGCAACTTTATAAGTCTTAGACGTCTTTTTGACTTCTACTTGATGTTGGTACGTTTTGGAATGTGTGGCCTTGAACTCTTCATTTAATGGTGGTAAGGAACTATAATAACCGTTCAAATTAGCGTTGTACTTCGTTATAAAATAATGAATGATCTGTTTTTGAGAAAATATAATTTTGATGCACCAGATTAACTATGAAACTGATAAACATGGTCTTAAGCTGCTGCAGCTATTRGTTTTGTCTTGAGAATATTGCTGATTATTTGAATAAAAGTACATATTGGGCCAAAAGGGCAATAGGTAATACTTGTACGTGTGTATAAAAGTCATTTAAAACTCATTGGAGAATTTCAAAATGAGCCCTTATCCGCCATATTGAATTTGTTCGTCTAAATCATATCACCTGCTGTGAGACTGGAGACTATCCTTCTATAGGAACACAAGAGTCCTGTATGAGAACATGAGAACCATTCAATGTGACAAATGGAAGACTACCTGGCATACCATATATGGAGATCGTACGATGGACACTCTAGATCCAACCTTCTACTCTACTCTACTCTACTCTACTCTACTCTACTCTACTCTACTCTACTCTACTCTACTCTACTCTACTCTACTCTACTCTACTCTACTCTACTCTACTCTACTCTACTCTACTCATTTTAGGCTGTGTTCGAATTTTTTTAAATTTTAATGGCGTGTCCCTTATCGAGTCAATGATGGCTAAAAGAGCTCCATTAGGACAATATTATTCGGTCAATATTTTTTCACTATGAAATATTATCATTCGCATCTTCTTTATCTTCGGAATATATTGCAGTTCTGATCTGTTGTTTACCACGCCACCGGAAGTCAAACGGTTGTCATGTGGTTCTAAATATTTCATGCTCATTACACGGTTTGGTGTCAAGCCATGTGAGAGATATCAAACGAAAATTGCACACGCAGTCACATTAGCCCTCGCACTGAAAGAAGCTAAAAAATGTCTATTTTGAAACGTGACGTTCCCCAAACCTCAAAGTACATGTGAAACTCAAGTGAGCTTAAATAGAACTTTTTAATATTGTTTTGTCAAGAAGGCGTCGGGAAATATGAAATCTTTGATGCAGCCGCTCAGTTTCTTGATATAATTTCTGTTGTCGCTGTTGAAACCGCTTTTAAAAATCGAAAATTATATGAGAAAATGTCAGTGTAGAACAAAATGATTTTTAATAAGAGGCTATCAAGTGTAAGCGAGGTCTGTGCGCAAAAATGTCATACGAGCTCTTGGCAGACGGGCCGATCGCATCGATGTCCGAACAAAAAAAGATCCCGGTACAGACCGAGCAATCAAGAAAAATATATCGTTTATTATATAGCCTTTATATGGAAGATTATACAGAAGAACTACTTTCTGATTCACTGCTCTGAAATATCTTATGATAAAAGTAATATAACATAAAAATCCCCATGTTTTTAGYGATTTTCTACGAAAAATTTGGCTCCTAGTTTCATAGATTCAGCTTATATTCACAATGAGATTTCGTACAGCCTGGCTGCACACAAATCTTCAGTGATTCTTTTTATACCCGTTCGTGTAGAATTATTTACTGACTTTTACGCAGCGAATATCTTCCCATATAGAATTACAGCTGTCCACTTCTTTTCCAGCATAACATAGTTAATTCTTCGTTTGCAGTTACGTCTTGGAAAAAAACATTTTCCGTAAAATTAGTCATAAACAAAATACAAGTAATCCATGTGAAAGAGCGAGTAAAACTCTGTATCCCTGAGAATTGTTTCGCCGAAAGGAGTTTTATTTGCCAAGATATAAGCAATTTTATACGCTACTTTTTTACTGAAGGAAACTGGCGAGGTCATGTTCATACGCTTTCACGACACAAACATTTTTAGAGAGTTTTAAAATCAAAGATAAAATTTCGGTACTTTCACATAATAGACGTATTAAAATTCTGTAGTTCTGTGAAATTTTGAGTCGAACCGAGCTTTTGTTGCAAGTTTATAAGCAATTTTATATGCCGATCTTTACAAAGAAACGTATGGCGGCACCGTACTGGTGGACCTCTGAAGTCCACCAGAAATGGCGGC